CATTTCAACATGAAGGAATATGAAGAAGTTGAGAGTGATGAAGAAGAGGAGGAGGAGGAGGAAGGAGGGGTGCTGAGGAGTTTATCTCCACCACAGACCTGCAGGTTAGTCTGCTCTTTGGGAAACACTGTAAATCGGAAAAACGTTAAATGTCAGTGAATGAAAAGTTCTGTATTTTTCTATCCGTCAGTATTACGACGTTCTCTCTCTGAGGGATCTTTGATGAAGGAACCTCGATCGCCCCGCTTCCTGTCTGACAGCACCATCCACCGACTTACCCATCCTGCAACCTGTGAACTCGACCTTGCTACTGGCCCTTCCCCCAGACGCCCCTCCATCCACACACTGAAGAAACAGCTGACAAAAGAGGGGGGTCTCTGCAGCACATGATGCTGCTTCTCAACGCACCAAGGTAGAGACCAACACAGAAAATAAACAGAACTAACGAGTAAATATCGGTACAGGCCAAGACAGACCAACGGAGAGCAGTGTAGAACAGAAGAAACAAGTGAAGACAAGTAGAGATCAGACCATTATTGCCTGGTTATCAAACCATTTGCAAAACCAAAAAAAAAAAAACATTTGATGAAACAGAGCAAGATCAGGACAGAGTATTAAAGTCCTCTAGAAATAAGTCTTACAGGTTTTTTTCTTTTTTTTAGGATGCTGAGCTCAGAAATCTTCAACTGCGGAGGAAGACAAAGAATCTGTATGTACACACACACACATTCACACACATCTACACACGTAAACTCACACTGTCAACACAATCATGCATACAGCAAACACCATCTGTACACCTCAGCATGTGCAACAGGTCACATCAAAAATATGACACAGAAAACTTCTAAGTTTGAATGTGTTGGACACAACCTATTTCTTCTATTGTTGATAAAAAGGATGACACTGTTGCACTTTGTTAGTGAACTATAATCTTGGTGTTCGATGGATTTTTTTTTGTAAAATCAGTGACAATGTGTTGCAGGTAGTATTATTCTTGTTTACTTCCTGACACACAGTCTTAACACTTCTCAGAGCTGCTGATGTTCGGAGTCGCCTGCCGTTTTTACGGAGAAGAAAAACAGTAGCTGTTTCCAGGGTAACAGTTTGGAGAAAGCCCTGAGAAACACCAGGTAAGCCCCCCCCAAGTCACAAAGGTGTTGAAGTTCCTGTTGGCCAACTGGATCCAGTGTTTGATTGTTTTGTTTTTCAGACCGTCTACAAAGGAGGTTCTCAGGTGGGCGGAGAGTCTCGAAGCACTGCTGACCAATCAGTGTAAGAAAAAACAATTCTTCTTCTGTGTTGAACAAATAATCAGTCAGGGGAAACACATATTTGATGACAATGCTCATTGGAACAGTCTTCTAACCTCTTTTCTCATTAATCAGATGGTCTAGCAGTCTTTCGCCATTTTCTGAGGTCAGAGTTCAGCGAGGAGAACTTGGACTTCTGGTTGGCTGTGGAGAAATTTAAGAGATCACGACCACTCGGCAAGATGGCTATTCGAGCATCAAAAATCTATGACGAGTTCATATCAACAAAAGCAGCAAGACAGGTGCCTGTCTTTCTGTCAGTCTGTCTTTGTTTTGTCTCATGATTTGTCATTTAACGCCTCTGCTTTTTTCTTCAGGTCAATGTGGACTCATCTGTTAGAGAATCGACTAATCAGAGCTTGCGGCTTCGAGTTAACCTGACTGTTTCCAGCTGGCCAGGATCAGATTTTTGGTCTTATGGAGACTGACAGCTACCCACGATTCCTGAAGTCACACCTCTATGCTCAGCTGGCCAATCAGGGCATACAGACAACAACAGGTTCAGCCAATAGGAGCAGAGCTGGACCTGTACCCATGGGCCAGTCATGAATGAGCATAGGACAGGGGTCTGGCTGCAAGACTTACATTAAAGGAATATATCCATTTGCATTATAGGAAATGTAGGATCGAGTGTATCGAAAGTTTTGATAACTCCACCTCTGGTATTCACATTTGGACTGTTTGGTTTTTAATTTGTTTCTCTCAACAACAACAATTTTATTTTTTAATTGGACACAGTGAATCAACTTCATTTTTGAGTGACTGGGTTAAACTGAGTGAGGGTTTCTTCAAACAAAAATTTCAGATAACAGTCACATTTTAACTAATCATTTGTTCTAATATAAGATGTTTAACTTGGGGAAACCCAACTTAGAATATTAAATATCACTGAAAATGTGCTAGGTTGTTGATGTGTAGCTTTAGGGCAGGAGATAAAAATGTTGGTCTACCACTTAGTCAAGACTGAAAATGGAAAACATTTACAAGGTGGGCTCACATTTGCGTTTTAATGAAATATGCAAACAACCTGAGGCTGTTGGTCAGATTGTGATCAAATATGGTTTAGATGTTCTTATTCCCAATGGAATTAACTGTGAAACCTTGATGATACTCTTACTTTCCATCCTGCCCCATCATGAGGTCAACATTTAACGTGTCCTATACTTTGGTTTATGAACAAATACCTGCAGGTGCATCAGCCAGCTGGGCTGTAAGTGTACTGCTAAGTAGCTAATGACAGCATGCCAACATGCTTTAAAAAGATGGTAATCATATACTTTCTAAGAAATCAGCTGATCGTCTCAGAATTGTCTGGTTATGAATGAATAAATCAGAGAAATAAAATGCAGTGAAACAGCTTGTTTTAATTGTCACATTTTAAATGTATGCATTCAAATACAGAGTAGAACCAGCTGACGACAGTTCTAGCTTATCTTTGAACACAAGGATAAAAATACTACTTTTTTGAAGTCTTAAAATGTAAAAATGTAGCTGAAGTAACTAAAGTAAATGTGTTCTTTGTCAGAGTACACCTAAATGCTGTAACAGAAGATCATTAAAAGGTGAAAGAAAGATGTATCTGCTTTTCTGTAGGATTAAAAAAGGAAGTGTGATGAATTCAGCTGAAAACAGTTCTACAATAAATGATGATGATGATGTTGGACTTAATGTATCTGCCTCCTGTTTACTTTTATTCTCAGCAGACCCATTGCCTGTAAATAGAAAAATGCAATCTCCTGAACCATTTTCAGTCAGACTCTTCACATATTTTCATAAATCCCTTTTGACGCCTCTGAATTTGCTCAGAACTTGAAACTAGCTGTCTCCTGGTTTGAACCCTGGTCATGACATCAAGAATATTACAGTGTAAGGAGTTTGGCCCTCTGAGTGTTCACAAGTCTGAAACTGAATTCTAAAATAATTTTTCCTAAATTTTACTTTGTTTATCCTGTTTGCTTTTCCTTTTCTGTTTTTTTTTTTTGTGTTAGATTTATTTTGGTAACACTTTATAATAACCATCATCTATAAAGGGTAAATAAGGGTAACTAGATAGTTAATAGTTATTTACTATTAACAAACAATGACATTATAGTTAATAATGTTTGCTAATGATTTGTAATGCTATAATTTATGTTAACAGTTTATTGATTCACACATTACATTTCATACACTTTATAAATTGTTTGTTAATGGTGACCAAATGATTTATAAACCTTAAAGAGATGGTTTATAAAACATCTATAAACATTACAGAGACACATGGACCAGATATTTGTTCATGGTTTGTAAATATTTTATAAAGCATCCATTAACATTATTTGGATGGTTATTATAAAGTTGGAACTGAAGATTATAATCCCTTATTGATACTTTGTAAAGCATCTATAAATATTTTTTAGACAGATAATTAATATTTTATCAATGCTTAATAATTGGTGCCCCAGGTCAAATCCGACCTGGGGCACCTTTACTGCATGTCGTTCCCCACTCGCTCTCTCCCCCATTTCTGACTCTATCCACTGTCCTATCTCTCAAATAAACACACAAAAAGCCCAAAAATAAATATTTTAAAATATACATATATATATATATATATATATATATGTATATAAATAACCATGTCCCCACCTCCACTCATCATTATACTCAGTTGGTGGAGACACAAATCAGCCGTTTTCTGAATACACATACATAAGTGTTTACGCACAACTTGGCACGTGGAGTTCAAGAGAAATTCCAAGCAAGAAGACACTCTGTGTTTAGAGGAAGACACACAGAAGTGAGAGGGACTGGAGATGTTTAATTAGAGACACAGAATGGACTTGTACAGTATTTAATATGCATATTACAGCAGAGCCATGTTTCGTAAAGAGAATCTCAGTCCATCAGAAGCAGATCCACCCTGAGTGTTTTCTAACCGGCCAGGATGTGTTTGACAAACTCTGTGTAGTTGATGTGTCCGTTGGCGTCCTCCTGTCCCACCATGAGCCGGTCCACCTCGTTCTCCGTCATCTTCTCTCCCAGCGTGGAGAGGACGTGACGGAGCTCGGCACCCATCACTGTGCCATTGCCCTCCTTGTCGAATACCCTCAGACCCTCCACAAAGTCCTCGAAGGTGCCCTGCTCTTTGGAGCGCGCCACGTGCTGCAGCATCGGCAGGAAGCTGTCGAAGTCTAGCAGCTTGACATGCATCTCCTCTGCCTTCGGCCTCCCCAGCAGCTTCAGCACATCATCATTAGTGGGGTTGTGTCCAAGAGCTCGCATGACATCCCCGCATTGAGCAAATGTGATCTTCATCTCTCCTGTGGGAGTCTCGTCAAACAGCGTGAAGGCATCTCTGAACTCCTCGATCTGGTCTGGGCTAAATTCCACCACAATACTCTTCAGATCCACCTCAGGAGGTTTGACCTCAGGCTCTGCTGGTTTAGCAGGTGGAGGAGGCTCCTCTTTCTTTGCCTCCACCTTCTTCACCTCTGTTTTCTTGGGTTCCACTTTCTTTGGGGCCATGTTGCAGGGCGGACGAATGATTTCTACGGAGGTTTTGAGCTTTATAGCAGCCTGAGGGGCGGTGAGCCGGGCAGAGGAAAAAGACAGAGGGGAGAGAGAGAGCAGCGGACCAAAGATGGAAGAAAACCGGAATAGAAACACTCAGAGAAAGAAGATAAGAAGCTTCCAGAAGGAGCCAATCTAGTCAGGACCAGAAGCCAGAATCAGGCCAACTTTAGTCCGAGGCAGACCTGCAGGAATCTGAAGGCACACCAAAGGGAACAAGTTTCAATTTTGCTTTATCACTATGTAAGACCAACCCTTATTATCAGGGAAGCTTAAACAGCAGAAAGTGGTATTAAAAAAAAAACAATGACAGGCCAAACCCCCCCTCCACCCCCCAAAACAAAAAAAACCCATATCGGTCAAAGAGGTAAACATGTGGTAAGAAATTATATGATATTTTTTTTAAAAGGCACATGTAACCTTATTACCTCACCGAAATTGCATTATTTGCAGAGAAGAGAGAGGACATGTCCCTGAGGTCTCCCAGCTGCACTGTAACCATGTCAACATTCTTTTTGTGAATCAAATTAAGAAATTCAATTCTATGGTAGTACCTTTTCTTTAACTGCTGTCTTTGTTCTACTGACATGCTCAGATCTATACTTTCTCTGAAAAGAGCCAGAGATCATTTTGAAGATAGAAAAAAAGTTGTAACCATGCTGTTATTACACAAACCTAGACTTAGGGTACATACAGTAATATTGCCTTACAGAAAACAGGAGTTAATAGTCTACAGATACCTTGACAGATATTTTCTTTCTGAATTTGGTGGTTTTAAATTATTGGTTCAGATTTTTATAAAAAATGGGAGAACCTTTTCACAATCTCATACAAAAAATAATAACCGTGAATTACTCTTTCATGCGAAAGAGAAATACAACAAGTGATGGAGTAATGTTCATGTGTATGAAAAAGGAAGTTAAATCAATATATAATAGATCAGAAGAAGAGGGAGAATACTATCTAATGTTGTGGCAAAACTGTTTGTTTTCTGAGTTCATAAATGGTCGTGGCTGACAGCGGTCTGCTTGTCAGTCTGTCCGTTTTACGTCTATTTCAGTCTCTGTTCCTCCTGCTGTGCTGTCAGATAAGGTGTCATTAACATTCCCCGCTGTGATAAGGACAATGATTCTCCATGATGCTCTGTGTCCTTCAGTCTTTAAATAACAGCGCTGATGACATCATGCAGAGGGGCTCACTTCAACAAACTTCAAGAACTGTATTATATGATTGTATGAGTGTACTGGTTTTTATTTTATTTGTTTAAAGGTAAAATATGTAGAATTTCTACACTAAAATATCTAAATTGATTAAAAATTGACTTAACATATGTGATACTTTTTGTTGTTGTTGATTGTTAGATTTCCTCTTTTTTCAAACAGTTATTAAAACCAGAGAAATCTTTATTTTATAGGTGTAAGGGCCTGTGTCTTTTGCGGCTCTATCATGGTTGCCGCTATGACAAACACAACATGTTAATGTTGTCTTGGAAACAACGGATGTTACGTCAACAACCACTGCATAAGGAAGCATGGACTAAAAGCTGCCATGGGTTGTCCTGTAGCCCATAGCAGTTATGACGTGCGTCACTTGTACAGAGGTAATAGCTCTTGTTGTTTCGAATCTGACCTCAACCCTTTGCTGCATCTCTTCCCCCACTCTCTCCTCCCAAAATGTTGTGTCTCTCTTCAGCTGTCCTATCCAATAAAGGCAAAATGGCCCCAAAAATGTGACTATTAATTATGTAAATTATACTATACATATGGCTTGTCAGTAAACATATTCTCTTCCTCTGGTCTGTGACACTCGTTTGTTTTAACTACGGTAAATTTGATGCTAATCCCATGATTCTAATCTACCATGTCTGTAATTTATGAAGTGAAACTTTCTGGGGATTTAATTTACCATATTTAAACCATACTGTAAATATTAATGGATGAAGCCTGAGTGCCATCACCCACCTGTTACAGGGGGCTTTGGAAGCCTGTCAGTGGCGGACGGTTGCAATACTAGAAATGCTGTCTCAATCTTACTTTAAGGTTAACTCATCAGATTATTATCATTATTATTATTATTTTTTCACCAGGCTATAAATGTGAAAAACTGGCATTTGAATGGGGTGTGTATGTGACTTCCTGGTCTCTTGGAGCCAGCCTCAAGTGGACAGTCGAGCAACTGCAGTTTTTTGCAATTCCAAATTGGTTTCATTTTTCATCAGCAGAGCTTCCCGCTTGATTTCAGCACACACAGAGGTCCTCTGATAATAGTAATCCCTTCCAAATCGGCATCTCAGTAATTTGGGGACGTAATTTTCTCCTTTTTTTCAAAGGTTTCTGCAGCTTTTATCTGCCCATTTTTCCATTCAAGAATAATAGAGGCTATGCTGTACATCAAGCTGTGACACTCTCCCAACAGAACGAGCTCAGCAAAACAGATAGAAGCGGCCTATTAAAATACAGTCCCTGCTGAGTTGTTGTTTGCCTCTTCAGTACCCTACAAAATTGGCCTTTACAATTCATATCCGGACATATGGTGACAAAGGTTAATCATTTGTTTGTCATTGGCTGGGCAGATGCATAGATTGTGGCTGCTGTGTTGGTTGGACCTTGAAATGGTTAAATGGTCGTTATCACAATAAGCACAGCAGCTTTCAAACAATGTACATAATGTACATAATGTGTATGTATAATGAGTTATACATACACACAGCTGTTGTGTACTCAATTGTGAACACACGCCGTGCACGACAAGCATTAAATCTTCTCATAAGGCAAGATGAGCCATGCTCACATCTAACCTATGTCTAAACTGACTTTTAACAGTAATTGACAAATAATTAAACTAGGGCTGGGCACGTTAACGCGTTATTTTCGCGTTAACTCGCCGACAATTATTTTATCTCGCATTAACGCAGTTTTTATTATTCATTTTCTTATTGTAAAAGTCTGTTGCTCACTGGCTTTTATTTCATAAAATTCCATCTTGAGCGAGCCTCGTATGTTGCTTACTGCTGCGCATGTCTGCTGCGGCGCTCACAGGAAAGAGGAAACAGTGTTGCCAACTTGGCGACTTTCTCGCTAAATCTGGCAACTTTCCAAACTCCCTTGGCGACTTTTTTTGTCAACAGCTACTAGCGACAAATCTAGCGACTTTTTCTGGTGTTATTGGAGACTTTTTTGGAGTAAGAAACTGACGTGAAAGCACATATTGCTCTGCAGTCACTGTCCTCAACGAGCAGCGGGTGCTGCTGTGAGCCCCTTCCCCTTCCAAAAGCGCTCACAGGCTGTCAGTGTAGACCAGTGTAGACCAGTGTCGACCAGTGTAGACCAGTGTAGACCCAGCTGCAGTCAGAGAGCAGAGAGGAGACCCACACCACTCTGCGTCCAGACTGCAATCAATACAATAAGCTTTAGTTTTGTATTTATTTGCTTTGATTACATTGTTTAAGTTGAGAAGTACATTTACAATAAAAGTGCGCTATGCACTAATTTTTAATTCATTATTGGATTTTGCGTATAACAATGTGATTAATCGTGATTAATCACAGGAACTCATGCGATTAACGCGATTAAAACTTTTAATTGTTGCCCAGCCCTAAATTAAACAGATAATTAAGAACCCAAACAGCCATCATCCCATCTCCTTCCTTCTACTGTTTCATTTGATTTTTTTATTTAATAGGGACAATGCAATTTAACATAGTTTCAATACAAAGCATGAAACTGATGTGCTGCATAAAGAGTATATAGCTATTGCTAATTTCCAACTCGTGTCCCTAGTTGAGCCTTTGTGTAAACAAACAGATTGAAAATGTACAACATTCGGTTACATAAAACCTCATAACACTGAGGATACATTAAAATACATGTACAACAATACAAATGCTATAAAACTGTTTAAAATACAGTTTTAAGATACTATTTAAAAGTGGGTACAGCTCTGGTTTGCTTTCAGCCAGCATTTCACCTTTTTTGTAAAAGATTTTAAGTCTGAGATTAATTTTATTTCAGGTGGTAATGTGTTAACAGAGTTTACAGCCTTTGATTGAGAAAGCTGATTGTCCACATGTAGATCTACATTGTTGTTTGTTACAGTTTACTTCTTGCTTCTTGTTACCCTGTTTCCATCCTGTCTTTGAACATATATGGAGATAGGTTCAGGGGCCAGATTGTTGATACATTTAAAAACTAGTTTGAGAAAACATAAATGCATAAAGCTTTCAAAACCAAGTAGGTTGTGTCTTTTCAGTATGTGACAGTGATGCCACTGGACAGGGTTTTTGTCCATTATTGTGTTGTTCTGCTGCTCCTCATACCTGTGTGAATAAAGCAAAAAGCTCCCTCTTCAGCTTGTTTGCTTACTGCTTTCAGTCTGCATATTTTTCATCTCTGGGTTTTCTAGCTGCTTATTTCCAAAAAAGTGTTTTTCTACCAAGGAAACCTTCATCGTCTCTGCCCCAAGGCAAAATAAACATGCTGCTACTAACCGAATATCTGACTGACTGGATAAAATGAGATTAATTTTGATTTCATTTTTATTAGTAAATTTGTCTCAGGATTGAAGTTACACAAAACTTAAGACATGATCATTAAACTGAAGTGTAGCTTTGATGATCATATTTCTGTCGTATTGAGCATTACGTTCGTATTTATCCTACAGCAGAGCAACTGAAAGAATCAAAGGAGCAGTCTGAGAGGAATTCAAGATATAGGCTACATTTTTATAATCAAGCAAAAACGAACACTGAATTTTAAATATACAATCCATTAAAATAAAACACAACATCACTCCTCCTCCTCCCTGGAACTCTTCTCCGCCAGCCACAGCTCCACTTTTTGCCCTCAAAGGCAACATCAGCTTCCTCCTCCAGATCCCTGGTGGGGTGCAGGCGAAGAACTGGCTCTCTCAAAATCTTTGCCCTGTGTCCAGGAGTCAGAAGATCCAGGGATCCCCAGTGCTAACCTCATGGCTCTGGCTGGAGGATGTGGCAAGCACCCCACCCCCCCCCCCCCCGTCCTTCTCCTCCCTCTTCTTCCTCCTGTAGATCGTCAATCTGTGTTTGACGATGAAGGGTTTTTTTTTGTTTTTTTTACTGTATTTACAAATGTTAAGTACATCAGGATTCAATTACATGAAGAAATGTATAAGCTCGAGGTACACCTGCTACAAATGAATATATATAGAAAACAATTTAAAAAAAATAAAAATAGAAGCTCATACTATAAGTGTTTCTCCTGATTTGGATGAGACATGATTACACCGTCGATATTTATGTGTCACAGGTCAACAACAGATAAAAGACAGAGCACACTAAACAGACATTATTATCTAATCAGAACATTGCTCACAGATTCATTTGTGATTGGTTCTGACAGTTTTCAGAGAATGTTCTTTTTATGTTATTTTTAGTTACAGTTGTATTTTTAGCAAGATGCGGCAGGAGGGACTGCACCGCTGCATTCTAAGATATCGGCAGGATCTGAAAGCACAGAAAAAAAGTCAATAGTCAGCTGACTTACTCGAACATTGTCAGATTAGTATTGATGTATGTTTGAATTAGTTTGAATTAACTGCATTATTGATTCGCCCTCATCAATAAGTACCTGATGACTCCTTCTGAGGCAGTTTTTCTATGATGACTGATTTCAGATCAGCAAATACCTGGTCCTCATCTCGGTCTCCATCCACCTACACACACACGCACGTTTTTTTATTTTATAGATCACAAACTTTAATTGGGAATTGGCGTACGCCAGTTTCAGGCCCCGTTTTGTGCATACGCAATGTTTATAAATGAGACCCCAGATCAGGAGGATTTAAGGGACAGTTCTCTTGAGATTCCCTAGAAATTTTCAGGAGTGCATATGTGAAAACAGCTTGTGTCAGAAGTTGGATGTTCCTGTGTCAGGAGGCATACGTGTTTACAGTAAGCAGATGTACCTTTGTCAGAAAAAAAGATGTGCGCGTGTCTGCAGGTGTAGCTGTGTCAGCTGGCCTGTGTCTTTGACTCAGCAGGCGTACCATTTTCAAAAAGAGATTTAGTAAGGTACTGTAGCAGGTGTGTTGTTAAACTGTCAGCAGCTTTAATTGTATCTTATTCATTAGCCTACCTGTTTCAGCAGGTTTAGCTGTTTGTAATATCTTCTGACAGAGATGATGTCTCTCTGAAATGAGTCAATGCGTTTCCGCAGGGCGTAGCTACTGTCTCCTAGGAGACCAAGCTCAGTGGCTCGTCTTTGCAGACGACAGCGCAGAGTTTCATTGGAGCAGAGCAGGAGCATCACCAGATCAGGAGAGCCAATCTAAACACAGAGGGCAGGACAAACAGAATTTACACATCTCACACACGTGCATGTTAACAATTAATCTGAATTCATATTGCATATTGAGACAGATTATGTTTGTTGTAGGTAAGAGAAGGCCTCCAAGCGAGCTGCGGGGTTTTTAGTCATTCCCCACTCTCTCTCACAATTTACTATTCTATGTACTGCCCTTTTTAAATTAAGACAAAAAGGCCCAAAGTAATACATCTAGAGAGTCTGAAACATGGATAGTGATGTCTGATCATTTTAGAAGAAGGGAAGGATTAAAAACAGATGAAGTTTGGGAGAATTCTGAGCATCTCAGGAAACCAAAGAAGGCCAGCAGGAACATGGATTGGAGAGTAGAATAAACTGTAGGGGATGAGCAGCCTGAACACAGGTGGGGAAACTAAGTCACCACAAACTTGCAACACTTCGAGCTGGCTCGCAAATATTTGTGTTAACCAGGAACCTCTGCGTGCTCTGTTTGTCTTAATGTACTGTAAGTTGTTTTAGTCATTGCTGAGCGTTTGCACTTGACCGCCCCATACAAACTGCAGTGAGCTCTCTGATTGGTCCTAACCTGTTCTTGGAAGCTTAGAGCCTGGTGGACATCCCGAGGGAATCCATCCAAAATAAACCCGTTGACCTTCTGCTGACCGATCAGCTGTCGCCTGAGCTCTGATATCGTCTCCTCCTGCAAACACATACAGTCCATTCAGTCACAGAAAATTGTCCAGGGTCTGTGTAAGGTTGATGGTTGATGGTTGATGCTGTATGGTAAATGTGATTGACTCTGACCTGTGATCCCAGCTCTGCGTGACTCATCATTTGTGAAATGACCTCCCACTTCCTGCTGGGAGAGGCTTGGCTTAGTAGCTGCCTCCTGAGCAACTCATCCAATGAGATGACTCTGAGGTTGAAGCTTTTAGCTAGAAGAGCTGCTTGACTTCCTTTCCCACTTCCTGGACCACCTATTAGAATACAAGAACACCAGTAACTCTCCTACATAAACCACAATGTTCTCAGTTTGAGTCATTACCAACATTGACATTATACATTAATAGACATTGAAGCATTGAAGCCCATTAAAAATATCAAGCCAAAATGGAAGTGTAAAAAACTGCAGTTCCTCAAGGGTCCACTTGAGGCTGGCTGCAAACGCTCCATTAATACATTTAATGTTTAAATGCCCATTTTTAAAGTAGAAATAAACATAAAGCCTTCCTCAGTCCCACCTCTTTACCTGTGTCTGTTGCTGGGCTTTAAAATGCCTCTTCAAATCCAATGAGTGACATTTATACAGTCTATGGTTGAAGTTGAACATCAGATTGGATGTCAAAAAAAGTTTTAAAAACTTTAATTGGGTTTAATGAAGTGGTGGCCTTATATAGGTTGTATCATATGAAGGACGCACGCAGATCATGTGTAGACATTCTAATAGGTCTGTGTTTATCTTAAATGTATTTACCAATGATAAAGATAATAGGGCATTGTCTCTGAGAAAGTTTGATGCTGACTTCCTGCTGGAGTCCAGAACTTTCTGTCATGTCAGAGTCGGAGTCTATGGATAGCTGAGACAGGACTGGAGAAGGAGGAGGACCTGAGACAAGAAAGTGGGAAAAGTCACACAAATCTTTGAAAATCTTTATTCTCCAAAAGTGTTTTTGGACTGAAATTCTCAAAAACTGAACTCCCAGAGAACTGTTGCCCATTAGACGCAAACTCGCAGAAAAAGGTACTGATTTTTTTAGAACCAGCTTTCAGAAAATCTAATTCCTTTAGAACATAATTCCAGCAGACCTGAGCTCTCTGAGAACCAAACCCCCACGTAAATGAATGACTTGACCAATCTCCCATGAAACAGAATTGTTTAAGAACAAACTAGAAAACAGAAATACTAAAAATGTAATCTTCCAGAGAACTTAACTTTTTTAGAACCAAACTCCCAGAAAACTATAGGCTCTTTCAGGATCAACTATCAAATTACTGAACTTCATTCCCTGTTCAACCCAATGTTTGCATTTCAGCTGAAAGCAAAATATCTTCAAGAACTTCAAACAATTTCAGATACCTTTTGGATTCAAAGACAACTCACAGAGAAAAACTCTTTAAGAACAAAATTCCCCCAAAAATGGGTCTTTGAGAGCCAACTCCAACAGAACTGAGCTCTTGGAGAATCATAATAACTGAGCATGTGGCTGTGTAACCTTTAAGTAAAAAAAACCCAACTCTTTTGAACGAAAACTCTCAGAGAGGCTACTTTCCTCTTTCCAAAGATGTGAACGCCATTGCAAGGCCATTCAGAGACAAATGAACCACTTGAAAATAAAACTTTCTGAAAGCTGGGGTATATCAGAATTTGGAAGATTTTTTGAATCTTAACAGACTTTGGAAAGTCTTTGAAAACCAAACTACAAAAGAACACATTTCTTTCAGAACCAAAGTCATTGAGAACTGCACTCTTTGAAAACCAAACATATGAAGAACTGAACTCATCAAGAAGAAAAAAATCTCCTGAACTGGAGAACAAGCCTCCTGGATGATGGAATTCCAGCAAGACAAAGCTACGAATTGAGTCCTGAACTCATACTGCTCTTTATTTAAGCTCACTGAAATTTTAAAAGACTGAATTAGCAGAGAACAAAGCTATTTGCAAATCAATCTGATGATCCTGTAGCTTACCCTCTGGGTTGTCTGTATTTTTGTTCCATTCTTCTTTCGTCTCAGTAAGGTTAGGTGGGGGGATTACTGCAGGTCCAGGTGGGGCTGGGGGGAGGAGTTTGGCATATTGTTCAGAAGCTGTTTTGGGAGTTTTATTGCTGATGGAGGAAACTGGTGGTGTCAGTGGGGTTAAAAAAGTTATTATGGGCTTAACTGAGGTTGTTTGGGAACCAGAATGTCTAGGTGGGGCTGTTGGGGGTATTGCTGGTATTATCCTTGGAGTAGGAGATGTCTTTGAAGGTTTTGGGGGTATATTTTGAGGTTTTGGGGGTTCTGTCACAGGTTTAAGTGCTGATGTTTGGAGTAATGTGGGTGTTTTGTGGGTTTTTATTGGGGGGATAGATGTTTCAAGGGTTATTAATGGTGTCAAAGGAGTTATCTGGGAAGTTGTTTGAAGTATTTCTGGTGTTGAAATAGACACAAATGTTGTCTTGGGGGCTACGGATGTTGTATTCAGTGGTTCAGATGTTGTTCTTGGGGGTGGTGTACTGGTGATTACAAATTGTCCCTTAGGGGGAACACATGTTGTCCAAGGGGGTCCCTGACTTGGCCTGTGTCTCTCCAGGTGGATGAAGGTGTCCCAGGTGACGGCTCTGGGACCTCCAAGATGTCTGGTTGTGGTCAGGCAGCTGTGGAGGAAACTGATTGGGTCCTCAGGATGGTGATAAAGAAGACCTGTTAACAAACTCTGAGACACAAATGAAAGTGAAATAAATATAATTTCTGCCCCCAGTCAAAAAAACATGAATCAGTGTAACATCAGTGGTCTGATCAGTACATTTTTTGAATGTTATAAATCTATTTTTTTAGCATTTTTGTTCTGAAATATTTGATACTTTGCTTGTTATGGCCTCTAAATCAGGATATGTAAGTTTACACAAACAAGGAGTATGTCCTGCTGTTAAGCTGCAAATGCAATAAACAAATAAAAAGTACAAAGCTAAACTGTGGTACTTCAGCAGGACCTAAATAAAAAAGAAGAAATGGAAAAATATAAAGTACAAATAAAAAAACAACAACTATATAATACACACTATCTACAAATGTGTAATGGAAGAACTATACAGAGCAAGTGTGCAAGATAACAGTGAGTACAAAAATCAGTTTAAAATAGGCAAAGTGTTCAGTGTAAATGGAAAACCGTTATGTCTTGGTTTATTGTATTCTGTTTCTATGATTATTTCATTTTGTTTTAATTTAGTTGACAGGGCCACACACACACACACACACACACACACACACACCGTTGGACCAGAGTTAACGATAAAGCTTATTTACATCTGTGGTTCCCGGGAATTAATATCTAAAACGCATAACTAACAATACAAATCAATAAAAAAAGCTAATTTAGCAAACAGTACTTAAGTCCTGTGTGTGTTAATATATCAAATAGAGTGGAAATCTAATTTACTTGACGTTTCCCTTTTTTAATTTTGTTGCTCTTTTTAAAGATGTCTGTCCGTCTCTTTGTCTGACTCCTTAAGTTGAATAAAACTGTGATTTTCCGTCTGTTTCATAAATCAAAGTAAACAGCTGAGGACTTGTCGAGATGTTGTTCCCTATCTTCCTCTCTTTCGTTCACTCTTAACTTTATTTTCAGAATTAAAGTTATCCTCTCATAGTTTTCCATAGATGTTACATTACTGTAAATAATTAGTGTAAGAGGCAAATTCCACAATTCAGACCAAAAACATCTCTCCATAAATAGCTCTGTTACTTGTCTCTTGCGTGAAATTGAATCGTAGCTGCTTGGTGCTCCAATATTTTCTCTAGTTGCATTTTGTATATATTTTTATCTACAATGGTAAATTATAATAAAACCAACCATTTGTACAAAAGATTTGCTGTAAAATGTGAGATTCAGATATCATGTTAACATTGATATTGGAAAATAAACATAACATTTTTTTTTC